AGGCTGCTCCTTGGAGGCAAGGATTCTGGGGCTTCGTCTGACATACTTTGGACATGTCCTTGTAGAGGGATATCATGCTTGGGAGGGTGGAGGGACGGGGCAAGAGGGGAAGACCCTCTATGAGATGGATTGATTCAGTGACTGGGGTAATTGGGATGGGTGTGTCAGAGTAGTGCGACTGACACAGGATAGAGCAGGGTTTAGGGCTGTTGTACATAGGGTCTCTATGAGTCGCAAGCGACTCGATGGCACATAACTACAACAACAAACAATATGGACACCAGGCTGAAGAAGTTAAAAGTTATTTAAGAACACATTACCTGTACAATAAGACTCATTTATACAGTAAAATCTGTGACCAGATACAACAAAGAAAAAGGCTAGTAGCAAACACTGTCACTACCCTCAATATCCACTCCTCCGTTTTATACAAGCATACTGGCTTCCACTGTAAAGGCTGTTAATTTTCAGTCTCCCAGTGAGGTCTTAACAAATTAAAATGTTCCAACTAATACTAATGAGCTGTGAGTAGATAAGTCCTTTGACTGTTTCCAGGAAATCTCCTTAAGAAATTGATGCTTTCTACTATCATTCTATGGAAGCTTTGGTGGCCTAGTGGTAAGCAGCTGTGCTGACAACCAAAGGCATGTGGTCTCAATCCAGCATCTGCTCTGCAGGAGAAAGATAGACATTCTCCTCCCATCTAATTCACTGGCTCTGAAAACTTGTTGGAGGGGCAGCTATGAGTTGGTTCAGACTCACAGCACACAACAACAATACCGTGTATCAGAGATGATGAAGATTGTAAAGGATAGGGCAAGGTTCAGTTTCACTGTTCGCAGGGTCTCTATGAGGCTTAGTCAACTCAGAGGGCCTAACAACAATAACCACCTCTCTTTGTATACATCCCTCTAGCCTCCTGTCCAGCAATGGAATATTGCCATCTTGGGGAATGAGGCTGAGATCATACCTCAGAAAAAGTTCTAAAACAACAAGTCTTCAAACTTTGAAATAACAAATATGGAAACAATTTCTTACAAAGCCCTCTGCCTATTCCTTGAGATGTTACATAAAGAACATGACCAAAAGCAAACATGACTAAAGCAAAGTTCTCTAAGAAGTATAAATTATCTTCATTTATTTCAAAGCTTGTATAAAAGTGGATAGAAGTTATAGATGGGCTAATCTGTTATTGCAGAAAACTTGAATACAAGAAAAAACTCAAACTTCTATTACCCTCAATCACAATCTTCATATACTGTGACTCTGAGTAGAATTTCACACACTGAATAGTACCAAGCAGTCATGGATTAGTACAATATGAAAGACCCACAAGATTGTTTTAAAGCTAAACACATGCCACTCGGATTAATGCTAACAGGCAGAACAAGGAGCATTGGTGGTCTAGTGGAAAGAAGCTACACCGCAACCTCAAAGGCACGTGGTTCAAATCCACCAGCTGCTTCATGGGAGAAGGATGGGCATTATCCTCCTGTGTGATTAACTGCCTCTGAAAACCCAACAGCAAGTCAGTTTTGGGTCTGTTCTGCCTTGATAGAACAGCACAACAGAACAGCATTTAATGCGGGCTCTGGTGATTGTGTTTTAAAAGGTTGCACTACAGGACTCTGTTTGAATCCACCAACCAGTTCTAGGGGACAAAGGTGGGAAATCTCTGAAAATCCATGGAGGGTCAGCTATGAGTCAATTCAAACTCAACAGCACACAAAAACACAAGCTATTTTCTAAAGAAATTAAAAGAGTCATATGTCTTTTGTTTCTTCATTGCCTAGTATATTTCCAGAGTCCTAGAAAGAACCAAACAGCATGATTAAGAATCTATCACAGTATCCTACAGTCTGTTTTGTTTAGAGATCAACAGACAAACAAGGATAAAGAAAAGAGCTAGATGTCATACACATTTACCCAGAAAACCACATCCAAACCTCTTTTCACTCATGCCCTTAATATGCTTACAACACAGCTGCACTGTTGTCAGTAGACCACAAGAACAGAGCTGGACCTATAAAAGGGTGGCGGGGAGACATCTGCCTGTTGGTAATGCAGAACAAAAATACGCTATCATAGCAAGCAAAGGCTGGAACCAAAAAAACTAAACAATGAAAGAGAAAGATACTGGTGAGAATGCTTTACACGGTACTGCTGACAAGCAATGATGGGCAGCGCACAAGGCCACCGATGATAAATGTCATAAATTCAGGCTCTATTTATTCATATTGGTTTTATACGATCACTTCTTAGAAACAGAATATGAGGGGAGCCATATAAACAAAGCCCACCACCATGCCAATCTGGCTCCTAGTAACCCTGTCAGATATCCCAAGGTGAAGAGACAGCCTCATCTTTCTCCCCGGGACTAGATTCTGAATGCCAACTATGCGTGGTTCACCCAGTACATATTTTCATACTCTGCTGAAGCCTGACTTCATACAGAAGAAATGTCTTCCTTTAAAATAACCCACTCATTTGACATGAGTTCAAATGAAGTCAGGTGTGTCAGAGATGGTGTGGCTGCCTCAGAACAGGGCAAGGTTCAGACCGTCCTTAGGGTCAGTCGATTAGAGGAGGGCACACCACCACCACCATCCTGCAATCTTCTCTTCCCTCTAATGCCTGGTGGAGCTAGATCCCAAGTTCCACACATCCTTAAGGAAAGACTTCAGCAAAGAGTTCCAGACCTGACTCTGAGCACTAGCCTTACTACTAACACAGTCGCCTACAAAGTGCAAACCTATTACCTTTCCTGAACCTTCCATACTTTACTTATACAAGAGTCGAGATAAAATTACATCTAAAGTCCTTTCCCATCTAACAACCTCTGAGCCTAGGCAGAACTGAGAATGAACATACCATTTATTAGTCATCCTGCAGTATGCCAAAGTTTTAAATGAAACAATAAATTTACAAATTTCAGGGGTTGCCCAATCCTCTAAAATCGAATCTTGGTGATTCTAAAAGCAGTACTGTGTGAACTCCAAGAGTTTGAAATGATAATACCATTGGGGCAGGAGGGAAAAGGAGAACTGACAGCGTTGTGACTCTGGAAAAGACTTTTCCCACTTCGAGGAGTTCTCTATTTCTTATGTTTCTCTAAACCACAGGTTGCTGCAGAATACACAGAAAGCAAAGCGTCCCCGATTCAACCAAACCCGATACTCTCGCGGACCCTCACTAGCCTCATCCAGACTTCTGTCTATCTGTGGGCTCTCGGGTGTTGATAACTCGAGGGAAGTTAAGGAGCGTGCCCTGGTCGGGATGGCCACGCGCCCTCGCTGATGGCTACTTCACCTCGGTCAGAGGCTGAAGGCAGAAATAGCTACGGACCACTCTACCCTACCCCGAGACGGATGAGGGTCCGCGGTCGCGGAAGTCACCTGTGAAGGAGTCAGGGTAGATGGACTCCAAAGCCTCCAGCTCGTTGCGCTGCTCCTCTCCGTAATCTGTCATCCTGACCCTCGCTGCTTCCCATGGATCGCCCCGAAGCCGAGGCAGCGCGCTGCGGCGGCGCCGGGCGAGCTGGCTGCAGCCGGGCAGGCGCAGGCGCAGAGCTCCCGGCGCGGAGGCCCGGAGCCGAAAGTCAAGGTAGACCAACAGAGCGCTCGCTCCGCGCCGGCTTCCGTCTGCTCTCCCGCTCTGCGTTCGACTCGCTCGGCCTGGCGGGCAGGGGCACTGATTTGCCTGCCGCCTGTCCCGACAGCACTCGAGATTTGCTGGAATGCACAAAGTGCCCGGTCTGGCGTTCGCGGAGGACACCTAGGGCCGCGGGCCTGGGCTTTGCAGTGTCTGAGCCTGGGAAGCCCCGCAGCGTGTTATCCTCGCTCGATGTGTTTGGGCTGAAGGCCGGCTTCACGTGCTGGAAGGGACTGGGTAGCCCATGGCAACAGTGGCGGACAGAGGGCGTCCTAGAGTTCCCAAATTTTCCAATGCCTGGACAGTGTCTTGTTGAGGTCGAGGTCCGTTTTACGCTTTTCGAACGATCCATTTCCGAACAAGGTTCCCGATATTCCACGGGAGTGGATGAGGAGCCCGGGCCCTTGTAGAATCCTTTGAACAAACGAGAAGCAGCTCTCCGGACCCGAGGGAATGCGTCGGATGGCTTGGCATGCTGTTTAAGAACAAGTAGAATCGCACAACCTGGGTTCTGGGATCAGATCTCTCGGCCGCATTTTGACATTTGTGCAATGAAAATGGCTGGTTAAAGATGTCTGCATTGAGGGTAAACTTCATATTTCATAATATTCAGGAGTTTGCTTATGAGTGCAGATTCCCTTGTAGAGCTACAGTGCGATGCAGTGAACGAAACAGATTTGTAGTTTGTCGCATCTTCCTGGGCACCTTTGAGCATTTTTGGGTTAATCTATAATTTCACTTTGACGGCAGCAGAGTTCCTTTACTGGACACAGTGGAGTCCCTTCACCGAGACAGGGTAGAGAATCCTAATGCGCTAAATTGCCTTTTTTTTTTCTTCTTCTTCTTAAGCTTTATTTTTTTAAAATAATTTTAATGAGCATTTACAGAGATTTTGGATTTCCATTCATTCATTGCTGCACTTCTCTCCCCGCCCAGCCCTTGCCCCCCACCCCCAGTTTGCTCCTCTCTTTCAAAAGTAAAAGAAACACTCCCTCCCTGGGACACAGTCCCCCCACACCCCTCCCGCCGCCCCAAGTACATTCCACTATGCAACCTTAATTGTGGACTCTTGTGATAACCATAATACCCTATCATACATCGCTTTTAAATTATTCACTCCCTCGTCTGTTTCAGTGCAGTATACACAATTTATCCCGTTTTTCTCAGTCTTACCCTAACTCTGATATCAGTCCCATTTTACAACAGTGGCACCATGCAATATTTGTCCTTTTGCAGCTGAGATTTTTTCACTCAGCATAATGTCCTCCAGGGTCACCCATTTTGAATACTATTGCATGAGTTCCTTGCTAAATTGCCTTTTTTTTCTTGGTTAGTTTATAATTTGTGTATGTGTGTGATTTGAGTGAATGTATACAGGACAAATTGGTTTTCCATTCGACATTTCATACACAATGCATTGTGTGACATTGATAACAGTCCCACTTTCTAACTATTTTTTACACCATTAGCATCTTTTTTTCTTACCCTTTTCTACCTTCTGAACTTTATCTCTGAGCAAATGTCCTTTTGATGGTGAATGATTTCATAGTTCTTGGAAGTTTATTCCATCCTAGTGTTATGGATTAGGGAGGTCTGGTGACTTAGTGCTGAGGAGTTGTGCTCTCAGCCAAAAGGCAGGTGGTTCCAATCCACTAGCAGCACCACAAGAGAAAGATGGACAATCCCTTCAAACGATTTATAGTCCACTGGAGAGTCAGTTCCCACTTACAGCACATAACAACGGTTACCGATTATCTTTAAACTTGTCTGTTTGAAAGTTGAGTCTTAGGAGAAGTTTTAGATCAAGGCATGAAGGGTGACACAGAACAGAGAAACACTAATGGTTCAAAATCAGGAAAGGAGTGCATCAGGGATGCATCCTGTCTCCATACCTTTTCAGTCTATATGTAGAACAGATCATTCTGGAAGCAGGGCTTTATGAGGAGGAATGTGGTATCAGGATTAGAGGAAGACTCATCAACAACCTTGCTTGCTGAAACTGACCCTCCTCCTTTCCAAGGAACATTCCAAAAGTATGTGAGACAAAGTTTTATCATCTTGCCTCAAACATACTTGCTATGTTGGTGGTGGTACCATCGAGTCAAGTATGACTGATAGCATCCCTATGAACAACAGATCTGATCCCTGTCCTACCCTGAGCCATCCTCACGCTTCCTGACACATAAAGGCAATCACTGACAAGCCACCTGCTTGAGGGTCTTCTTTGCCAACTCTCCACCTTTCCAAGCATGATGTCCCTTTCTAAAGAATAGCCTCTCTTAGCAATATATCTGTAGTATGTGAGGCAAAATTTTGTTGTCTTTGTCTCCAAGGAACACTCTGGCAGCACTTTCTCCAATACATAATTGTTTGTACTTTGACAGTCCATGAGATGTTCAGCACTCTTCTACAACACCACAGCTCAAAGGCACCAGTTCTGTCATCCTTACTCATTGTCCACCTCTTGATGCATAGCAACTTACTGGAAATTAATGTATAGCAAGTTATTGGCCTGTATCAGATGCACCTTAATCCTCAAACTGACGTCTCAAGGGTGCAGATGACCCGTCTTTCTGCCAAGAAGCCACTGGTGTATTCAGACCACCAGAGTTTTGCAGCGTAAGGTGCAACAGACTAAAGGCTGTGCCACTAGAGCTCTGTTTAGGAAGGTTGTTGTTGTTATGTGCC